AGGCTCCGCTTGGCTCACCATGCGTGCCGCCTCACCATGCCGCGGCCATGGGCCAACGCTCTTACGGCCTACCGCGACCGCCCCGTCATCGCCCCTTTGCCAGGAACCCGGCTGTTGCTCCTACCAAATCCTACTCGCACTTCCTCCCTCGGATCTCTCTGACGAGTCCAAACACCGGTAATACCCCGTCACCTTAGTGTGTTGCACACTATGCGACCTCAGCAACTGCCGCCCATAGGGCCTGGCTTCGTCCACGACCGTCAACCTCCCGCACCTAGCACGCGGAGGTCACCGCTTGCGTTCCTCTTTCTCTAGCACACCCCAATTACTGCTCAAAGCAACGCCACTCCCGATGACGCATGCCGTATGAACGCAGATGTATCGTGGTCATTTCAATAAAGGAACAACTTTTCCCTAGTTTTAACCAAAGCCAAAATTTTTGCCGGCGGAAACGCCGACCTTATAGCATCAAGGAAAAAATCATCACTCGCGCCTCAAAGCTGCGCGCCCACATACTCTCTACTTCCCGTCAACCATTCACTCAACGCGAACCAAACACCACCGCAACTTGTGCAGTGTACTCGCAACCCAACGGTTACCCTACTTTTTGCCACTTGCAACAATCCAGGGCGGATACCCTCGTAAGGGTATTCGCGCTGACAATGCTACATCCTGACTCCAACTAGCCTGGCGCTCCTCCATCCAGGCCTTGCTCAACACTTCCAGGTACCCCAGTACCTTGTCCCACTTGGCCTTATCATCTGGCTGGGCCAATACCTCCGCTCTACATTCCTGCACCTTCGCTATTGATGCGGTCATCTTATTCACTTCTTCTCTCCTCCTCCTCTTCCCTCTTCATTCTCAGCTTCCACTGCAACTTTTGCTCGTCTTCCCTCTCTCTTCGCTCCATAGGATCCGTCATGGTTGCTAGCTCAGCGGCCAATGCGGCCTTCTCATCCACAGTCACATATGACTCCGCCTCTTCATCTTTCCCCAACGATAAGTTAGCAACCCACTCGCTGATCTTCTTCTCAATCTCAGCGTCCGTGTCCTTCTTCGTGCCACTGCTCCCTTCTCTGCTTTCAATCCTCATCCTTTCTTTTTCCTCTTCTGCTGCCGCTTCTTCTTCAGCAGCCTGTTCCTTCTTCTTCATCTCCTCCTCTACTTCCTTCATCTTCGCCGCCCGCTCGTCTGCGATAGCCTTTAGCTTCGCATGCTTCTCACGCTCTTTTCTCTCCTTATTCTCTTTCACTATGGCGGCCATCTTCGCTTGCTGCTCAAGGGTGTAGGGATTAGTCTCCTTCCCAGTGCGGGTCTCAACCATGGTGATAGGTGTACAACGAGGTTAGAGGTTCCAAACCTCACCACGTAGACGCCAACCCCTGACTAACAGACCTACTAACTCAATCTAGGACTTACAGAATCCTGACAGGGATCCTGTCAACTATGGTCTCTAGCCTAGACCTATGCTATGGCTGTCACTACTGAACCAGTGGCTGATCAGGAGGCATTTAAGGAGATCCCCCGTAACTCCTCAAGAATTCTTTAACGTCGCAGACAGGACGACGTGATCAGCTTGGTTGTGCCTGTGCTTTCAGCCCACAACTCAGCCTTTCCGGCCTACTGTGCCAGTCGAGTCGTCAGACACAGATCCTCAGCCTTACTTGGTCCGGTAGGGGAGTGGTTCAAACAGGCCCTCAACACTTAAAGACTGCCTGGTGTGTAAGCCCTAACTGCCGTTCAGGCACACTGAGTCCTACCAACCGTTTCCAGCCGGTCAGCACCGGTCCTTGGGAGGGTTGTGCCCCCCTGGAAAGTTGGATCAGCCACAGCCTTAGCCCTACAAGGTCAGACTAGGGTTTCGTCATCCAAGCCCTATCCTTCATCCACAGAGTACTATAACTTAGGACAGAAGGGACTCAATGCAGAAAGAATAGACAGACAGATTGTACTCAGCAAGTACCAAGGGGTATGTGCACATCCATAGGGCAAGGGGTAGGCTAAGGGCTTGGCGAGATGTTACCAACTCCAGCTTGGTCAAAGTCTTGGTCAACGCCTTGGTCAACGGCCTTGGTCAACGCCGGTCAACGCTGCTATGACCCTTGGTCAACTCCGGTCAACGCTTCCGGTCAACCCTCTCGGTCAACTCCCCGGTCAGCTATGGCTGCCGGCACTTCTTCCTCGCCAATCCCCTTCTTCTTCCTTGCCTCCCTCGCCTCCTTCCTCCTGTTGTCTTCTTCTTCTTTTTTTTTTTTTTTTTGATCGGCCTCTGCTTCGCCTCTTAGCTATGGCCGCTTCCTCTCTCTTCTCGGTCTCTCCCCCCCTCTGTCCTTCTTCCTCCTACTTCGTCACTCCGTGGTACAGGCCCCGCGGCTATGGCCGCTGTCTTTCTTCTTCGTGGACTGGACCGCGCAGCAACTTCACAGGTAAGTGACAACCAA